GATACATTTCTGTAGAAACAAATAATAAATTGATTTATTTTTTCCTGGCAGAGGGTTGTTCGGTTTGCAAAGCTAGGTTCGGTGGGAGCGCAAAAAGGGAATCTGGCCGCTTCATGCCGGGCGGCGTCGGCGTGGGGAGGGTGGACACGGGAGGGCGTCGGTGGTTTGGGGTCTGGGAGGAGGAGGGGGTCTCCTTTGGAAATTTGGCTTTTGTGGGTTTTTGTTTGTTTGTTTTTTCTGGTTTTTTTTTTTTTTTTTTTTTGAGTCTTGGCGTGCTCATCATCTCTCTTCCTCCCCCCTCCCTCCCCCAGGGCTGCTTGTCCTGTTTCTTGCCCACATTGTCCTCATTCAAACGAGCCTGCGAAATTGAGGGATTGGTTGCAAGGGGCTGTGGGGGGTGTTGGTGGTGATGGTGGTCCGGAGAGCTTGGCATTTGACAGGAGAAAGTGTCCATTTTCCTAATATGATTGTAAATTAAATTTACATCAGGTGATTTTTTCTTAAATGTTAGTTTATTTCTTCTTTTGAAGTATTACAAAACTCAACCTTTGTTTCACTAACTGTGTGTTTTATCCTGTGACTAAGAAAATAAACAAAGTATATCTTGCTATCCTGGTATTCTACTAGTCTTTGTTTTCAAAGAAACTTATGTAAGACCTGCTACAGCTGGAGCCCTGAGTTCTCATTTTCTGTTCATGCCAGCGAATGAGATTCTTTTAGGATTGAGTTCACTAAAACATTCCCCTTATTGTTGCCAGGTGTAAAGAATTGTTTGAAATATTTTACTACACTGGCAACGGAGGGATCTGGTGCATGCGATGTGTTCAGAGGGCCGCCTTCTCATCAGCTGCGTGGGGCGGGGGGGACGTGCTGCCGGACCTCGGACCCCCCCCCCAGTTTGTTTATTTCTCCCATCGGTTGCTAGCGTTGCAACCGATGCTCTGCCTTCCTTTCCTTTCTGTTTTTCTTTTTTTGAAAAATGCAATCCAGCCTTTCATCGATGCTTTTTGCAGCTGGCCGCGGTGCGCCCGCCGTTTCGCGGCGATGGGGCTGCTGGCGATGCACGAGCAAAATGGGTCACCTCTGCCGAAAGAGAGGGAGGGAGAGGGAGAAGCCCTGTGCAAAGGGAGGCTGCCTTTTTCAACAGGGGAGAATCACATCAACGAAAAAGAGAGTAAATGGAGTCGAGTGAAAGCGGCTCAGGGGTTTTAGGCTGCAATCCCAATCCTATTGACCTGTGTTTCAATTCCATTTAAGTAAACGTTGCTTCTTTTTGAGTAGACAAGATTTAGACTGTTTGTTTCCCAAAGAAGATATTTTAAGCAACTTCTCCACACCAAGATCCTTTGCTTCCTACTTGCATAACATACAACATCACTTTGCATTGAAAATCGGTGCAAAACACATGCACAGAGAGAGAGAGGGGAGGAGGAGAAAGGGAAAAAACGGTGCAAACACACGCGCGCGCGCGCACACACACAAGGAGGGAGTGCCCCCCTCCCGGGAGCTTGCTGGTGCGTGCCTGGGGTGTGCATTGCAAAGGGACGGAGGGCGCGCTCCCGTTTCAGGCCGC